GGGAGGAGAGAGCGCTAGTCTAAGCAGAGATAGCCTGTGCGGGTAGCTGCGAGGGTGGGAAGCCGAAGGAGCTGGGACCCGAGCGTACCCGGGAGCCCGTGGAGGGGGTCGTGCTCAGAAAGCGGGACGAGGTGCTTTGTGTGTATGCGATTGGGCTAGTCGCGGAGCGCTGCAACGGCCTGAACCCCGGGAACAGAGTCGGGAGGTCGCTGCCCACAGCAGAAAGTGGGAGGAGCGCAAGACAACGTGCAAATGAGCAAATTAGCTGCATCTCTCTGAGAGAGAATCGCAGGAACTTTTGTCTGCCTCGGCATCAAAGCTAAGCCATACCAAGAGGGACCTGGAAAGCAAAAGCTCTGGAAATGACTAAGGGGCAGGGTAGGGGATCCCCCATTGTGGTGCTGTAGCTAAAAGGGCAAACATCCCCTCCTTGGATGTGTAAGCCGGGAATCATCGTTCAGTTCTCCGGTCCACACATCAGAAAAAGATGTTGAAAAGCTCAGAACAGAGCTATATGAATGCCAGGAGCCTGGGTGGGAATCTGCCTTGCCGTGAGAGATCAAAGAAGCTCAGAGTTTCCAAAGGCAGAAAGGACCTTTTGACCCAGTCTGACCTCCTCTCTAGTGCAGGCCAGTCTTTCCTAGAGCTGATCCTGAGGGGTTGGATCACAGAAATCCACTTGGGAAAGTTCTCCGGAGCGCTGATCGAGCCTCTGGCACCCACTTTCCTGCCCTCTGGGACTCCCCACCACCCTGCTCTGCTGTTCCAGAAGTTCTGGTATCCCCCTGCCAAGGCACAGAGCAACACAGATAAAGAACCAAGGGATCAGCAACAGTGTTTCGTCTAATATTTTCCATCCATGAGCAGAGTGAGTTTGGGCTTGTGCACCAGTATTGATGTGTGTGTGTTCTGCTCTGGACCACGTTGGTAACCAAGTTATTGATAAATATAAATATTTTATAAACATCTCCCTTTTCCCCTCTGTTGCCATGTCTCCCACCCTCGCCTCACCCCGGCTGCTCCTCAAGACCCCATATAAATCCATCTTATCCTGTGTAAAAGTTTTACATAGAAAGCTCCTAAGCTCAGACACTTTATCAGTGAAAGGGCACTATGCACAGAGGTTACTCCCGCCAGGTAACAATTATTTACACTGGGCTTGATAATAAACAAAAGTATTTTATTAAGTACAAAAAGTAGGATTTAAATGGTTGCAAGTGAAAACAGATCAAAGTGAGTACTAAGTTAAAATAAAAAATGCCAGCTCATCCTAATTCACTAAGGCTATGTCTAGACTGCAAGCCTCTTTCGAAAGAGAGCGTCTAGACTGCACGTTGAACTTTCGAAAAAGCGGCTTGCTTTTTCGAAAGAAAGCATCCAGTGAGTCTGGATGCTCTCTTTCGAAGAAGCCCTCTTTACATTGAAGAACGCCTTCGTTCGAAAGAGGAACTTTTGAAAGAAGGCGTTCTTCCTCGTGAAATGAGGTTTACCGCCATCGAAAGAAAAGCCGCGTTCTTTCGAATTAATTTCGAAAGAACACGGCTTGAGTCTGGACGCAGGGGAAGTTTTTTCGGAAAAAGGCTACTTTTCCCTAAAAACCCCCTGAGTCTGGACACGGCCCAAGAAACTTGTTTTGTGAAAGTTCTTACCCTAAGCAATTGTTCTAAACATCTTTTTTGCGAGCTAAGCAGCCTCCTAGTTTGGGACGGATCCTTCCCTCTGTTCGGTCTTAGATGTTTCCAGCAGGTATCTTAGGTGATAAGCTGGGGAGGGTCTTCTGCCTCTTGCAACTGCACCTATTGTTTGGTTCCTGCCCTCACCATATTCCTTTTCCTCAGTGTGGGAATTCTTTGTGTTCAGTTCAAACATTTCTCACCTTGAGTGGAAAAGTACAAATTCCAAAATGGGATTTAACATCAGGTGGCCCATTTGGGTTTCCAGGAAGAATACAATCATTCACAAGGGATTGGCTTAATCATTGAGCCATTCATTTTCTGGAGCATCAGTAATGGTCCCCATTGTCACATTTAGAATTATAAACAGATATCCACGTCATATTTCTAACTTCACATACAAGAATGATAAATGTACAAACATAGGATACACAGATTCAGCAGACTGTAATTTTAAAATTGATATTTACATGAGGTATTTTGTCTAAAGCATTTCTGGGTTATGCATATTCATATTTAGAAGCCAATTTTCATAAAGCATGTGTGTGTATGTGTGTGTGTGATACAGAGCTTTTAAGAATATAGCCAATCTGAATTTCCAAATAGTGACGAGGAATCCACTAAACCTTGGTAAGTTGTCCCAATGGTTAATTACTTTCACCTTTAAAAACGTATGCCTTATTTTCAGTCTGAATGAGTCTAAAGTCAGCTGCCAGTTATTGGGTCATGTTATAATTTTCTCAGCTACTTTAAAGAGCCTATTATTAAATGTTTGTTCCTTATGTAGGCACTTAGGGAACATCTAGACTACAGGCTTGTGTTGACAGAGGCTTTGTTGACAGATACTGTTGACAAAGCTTCTGTCGACAAAGAGCGTCTAGACCAGTAGTCCCCAACCATTTGATGCTACCGGGCACCAGGGGGCGTGGCCGTTCACCTGCCGGGCACCAGAGGGCGGGGACACTCGTGCACCCGGGGGCGGGGCCGCGCATATGCCACACCCCCATGAGCCACGTTCCTGGGGCCAGGAACCCTATGCGCCATGTGGCCGCCCATTTGCAGCAAGCCTGGGGCCAGTGTCCTGCAGAGCCACGTGCCCAAAGCCGGCACACACACACACACCCCGCCCGCATAGCTGCGTGCCTGGGGGCGTGGATGCCAATTTTCCGCACTCCCGGGGCTGGTGCCCCCCATACCCGCGCTCCTGGGGCTGGTGCTCCCCATAGCCATGCTCCCGGGGCCAGCGCCCCCCATAGCCACACACCTAGGGCGCAGGCAGCCAATTCGCCGCGCTCCTGGAGCCGGCGCTCCCCATGCACCATGAGCCAGAGGCCGACTCCAGCACCGCACATGCGCTTCGTGCCCAGGGCGGGACCAGCCCTCAGCACTTGGCGGACACACACAAATGCCCCCGCGGGCGCCATGGCGCCCATGGGCACAGTGTTGGGGAACACTGGTCTAGACTACATGCCTATGCCGACAGAGGCATGTAAAATAGGCTACCCGACGTAGTCAATGAAGCGGGGATTAAGTATCCCTAGCTTCATTAAAATAAAAATGGCCGCCATGCTGTGCTGGCTCAGCTGATCATCGGCACAGCACGCAAGTCAAGATGCGGATCAGTCGACACAGGAAGCCTTTGTTGACAGCTCCCTTATGCCTCGTGAACGAGGTTTACAGGAGCGGTTGACAAAGGCTTTCCCTGTTGACCGATCTGCATCTTGACTTGCGCACTGTGCTGACGATCAGCTGAGCCAGCACAGCGTAGCGGCCATTTTTATTTTAATGAAGCCGGGGATATTTAAATCCCCGCTTCATTGACTATGTCGGGTAGCCTATTTTACATGCTTCTGTCAGCATAGGCATGTAGTTACAAGATCTGTCAAAAAAGGCTTTTTTTCTCAACAGATCTCCCTCTAGACTGCCTCTTTTTGCTGACAAAGTGCTGAGTTGGCAAAAATGGCACAATTTTCATGCAAATTAAGCATGGGATATTTAAATCCCCACTTCATTTGCAATGTCGACCTGCCTAATCTGCATCCCTATGCCAACAGAGGGATGCAGTCTAGACATACCCTTAGAGACTACTCAAGACATGACTTAATATTCTCTTAGTTAACCTAAATACATGGAGCTCAATGAGCTTATCACTTTACAACAGGAGTGGGGATCCTAAGGCCCAGGGGCCAGATGCAACCCCTAGCTTGCCTGGATCTGGCCCTTGAGGCACGGATCTCCCCCGCCCCCGCGCTGGGAAGCCCATGCTGGTGCTCTAGCTCCCCTGCTGTCCCCCATTGGGCTGGAGCACACAAAATCTACTAGGCTGACCCCCTCTCCCCCCGGCTCTGGTATGTGAGGGGAATGTGGGGAGTGTCTTTCTCTTCAGTTGGGGGCCACACCAGTAGGAGTTTGGATTTTTTTTTCTTCTCACTAGTTTGCGGCCCCAGACTGATATTTCTGTGAGTCAGTGGCAACCCTGATCCAAAAAAGGTTCCTTACTCTTGCTTTTTTTTTTTTTTTTTGTTAAATCTTGGTTTAATGCTGCGTTTCTCAGACTGTGGGTCCCAGCCCTTTGGGGGGTCATGAGCAAGTTAAAAGGGGGTCACAGCTGGATTCAGGTTTTCTCTTGCAAAAATTTGTGTGTCTCTGGCATCTCAACTGGCAATCCATTGACACTGATCACATGATTACTGATAGTTGGGCTTGGCTTCTCTTGCAAATGTTCGTGTGTCTCCAATGTCTCCACTGATGATCTAAATGCTAATCCCATGATCTCAGATGGTCGGGTTCGGCTTCTTTTGCAAATATTCGTGTGTCTCCAGTATCTCTGCTGGTGCTGTGTAATATTTATTAGTACAACGTCTTTAATAGTCCTTGGAGTGTATGTGAAGTTCCATTATTTTATCAATTATTATACATTTATAAACACTTTTATCTGTTATTTTAAATTTTTAGCCTTACAACATGGAAAGTTTTTTATTGGGTGATAAGTGAAAAGCTGATGACAAATCTACCGTTATTGAGGATAAAAATAGGCCTAAATCAAGAAAGTATAATGAAAGTTACATATCTTTTGGTTTCATGAGTGTTTTTGTTACTGGAATAGCCTTAATATGTTATTTGTCAGAAAATGCTATCTGCTGAAAGTATGTATTTTAAATCACCTTTCTTCTTTAAAATTTCACTTTAAGAACTATTTCTCAGATATGGATATTGAAAAATTTGATTGGATAAGGAATCCATACAACACTAAATTAATAGCTGGTACACTCACTATTACTGAGAAGGAGCAAATCATTGATATCTCTTCTGACACTGCTTTAAAAATAAAATTCTCAACAATGTCTATCTGAATTTTGGATCAGTGTGCAAAATAAATACAAAGAATTAAGCGAAAAGGCTATGAACATACTGATCCCATTTGCAACATCTTATTTGTCGGAGTCAGAGTTTTCTGCAGTTGCTGCTATAAAAAGCAAATATTGATCAAAAGTAAATGTGGAACGAGAAATGAGAGTGGCTATCTCAACAATGAAAACCAGATTTCAAAAATTATGAAACAATAAACAAGCTCATCCTTCACATTAAACAATATGATTCCAAATTTGATTTTTTTTGTCTATTTCCAATAGAAATTTAGTTATCAAAAGTTATTGGCATATTTATTTCTTGTCCAATCCTAATCCCAATAAAATGATTAGCTTTACTCATGGAGCAGTGAGGGTGGAGTCACACAAATTCATTTAGCATTTTAGGAGGTTGCAATACCACAAAGTTTGAGAACCCCTGGTTTAATGCAGAATTTATTGGGTGAGATTCTCTGGCTTGTTCTGCTCCTATGCATGTCAGATTAGACAATCATCATGATTCCTTCTGGCCTTCAGAGTAATTAATTTTGTCTTCCCTGGGGAAAAAAAGTGAGTTTTCAAGTACCCGTTCAAATCCTAGTGTAGATTAAACAAGGGGTTCCCTTGACCAGCTATAGTTCTAACAGTAAAGTTTGCCTTGTCCATGATGTTAGAGTTTTAATATGTGTTAGTTTAACACATGTTCAAATTTATCTTTTTTCCTAGGTCTGACATGGCCAAGCAGGCCTTAATCATTATAGTGCAGAAGAAGTTTTTCAGGCAAGCAACACCCCCAACAGCTGTAGTTATAGGCAGAATAGTCAGTGTTCCCAGTGACATGTGGATGTTTCTAAAGAACATTGGGTCATGCTGAGCTTGGAGATTTGTGGTGAAATCTTGACTTGCTTGAACTCACATTGACTTCATTTGGGCCAGAATCTGACTCTGGATGTTTGTCATCAAGAAAATATAGAATGTAGTAGCCAAGTTATTTTCCAAGCTCACTGTGGCTGTATTTGTGAAAATAAGTAGGTAGCAAAGTTCTACTACAAGCTCCAACTTTGTTATTTAGCTGTGTGAATAGAGCTGTGCCTAGAACTGGATTGGACCTTGGAAGTACAGATATATGAATAGATAGGGAATATTTAATTAGACACAATCAGGTTATTTTCCTTGTTTTGTCATTTAGTTAAACTCCTTTGCTAAGCCCATAGGCTGTAACTAAAGCTGAATCCCAGGGAAGCAATTCTCTGTGCTTTAATCTATTTTTTCTCAGTTGCTTTGTAAGACTTAGCAACCAAGTTTGCTTTACCAAGGATATCTTTTTGTTTTGTTAATAAAATCACATTTTTAAGACTATGATTTGATTCTTGTGTCCTGGAAGGTAACAGGAGATGTGTGTATACATGCCTAAGACTGCGAGGTCACAATCAGAGATTACAGTTTTTCTTCCCCCCTCCACCTTGCCTTCCCCCCCCAAACTCTCTTGTGGTAAAAGAGCTTCTGGAAGAAGTTCCCAAGTGAATCTTCTGGGGCAGTGGTTCTCAAACTTTGTGATACTGTGACCCCCCCCCCTCTAAGTTGCTCATGACCCCCTGGGGGGTCGGGACCCACGGTTTGAGAAACGTGGTTCTGGGGTTCAAAAGGGTATTTTTTTTCACTTGGTGGTGGCAGCATACCACCCAAGGTCAAGGAATCTGTGACTTTGGAGAGTTTTTTTAAAAACAGAAGCCTAGATGCAAGGTATTTTTAAGATCTCTTGCAGGCTCCCACCTTCTGCACTTGAAGTGCCTGAGTGGGGAACAGCTTTGACAGAAGTAAACGATAAATTTGTTGATAAAGGCAATAATATTCACCTAATACACTTAAATCTCTGTAAGGGATTTAACTAGATATTGCACAACATTTTGATTAAAACACCTAGAACAATACAAAATTAACATGGCAGACATGGATTAAAAATTGATGGTCTCAGGGTGTAATTGTAAATGAGGAATCATTACCAAGCAGGTGTATTTCTATTGCATCCTTCAGGATTCAGTTCTTGCCCCTACACTGTTTAACATTTTTATCAATGACCTAGAAAAAACATAAAATCATTACTGATGTTTGCAGATGACACAAAGATAAGGGGAATGGTAAATAAGAAAGAGGACATGCCCAATGTGGATGGTTTGGTAAGATGGGTGTAAACAAACAATATGCATTTTAATTAATCCAAATTAATATACATCTGGAACAAAGAATGCAAGCCATACTTAAAGGATGGGGGACTTCTCCTGGAAAGCAGTGAGTTTGAAAAAAATTTGGAGTTGTAGTAATAATTAACTGAACATGAGCTCACAGGCCAATGCTGTATCCAAAAGCGCTAATGCAATCTTTGGGTGTATAAATGGGAATTTCAAGGAGCAGAGAGGTTATTTTACCTCTATATTTAACACTGGTGTGACTGCTGCTGGAAAACAGTCCATTCTGGTGCTCATAGTTCAAGGAACTCTTGCAAAACCGGGCAACAAAATGGGAGATAAATGTTAAAGTTGATAAATGAAAAGTAATGCATATTGGAAAACGTAATCCCAACTATATATATAATGTGATGGGGACTAAATTAGCTATTACCACTCAAGAGAGAGATCTTGGAGTTGTTGTGGATAGTTCTCTGAAAACATCCACTCAATGTGCAGCAGCAGTCAAAAAAGCAAACAAAACGTTAGAAAAGAGGAGACTAAGGGGAGATATGATATAGGTTTACAAAATCATGTCTGGTGTGGATAAAGTAAAAAAAGGAAATGTATTTACTTGCTCCCATAACACAAAAATTAGGGGTCAGCCAATGAAATTAACAGGTCGCAGGTTAAAAAAAAAAGGAAGAATTTCTTCACA